TTCAATTTAATTAAAATAATTTACTTTAAATTAAATTACTTTTAAATATAGCAAACAAAGCAGAAGGCAAAGGCTACAAAGCTGTAGGTGTAGAAAAAACATATTGAGAGGCGTCAGCGTGCATATATACATACCACATACATGTATATATAGAAATATTTATATACAAAAGCCACGCCAGACACGATAAATTGTGGTAACAAAGGAAACAAGGAAATGCTTAAATAAAAAAAATATATATACTATATGTATATACACATACATACATATATAAGTATGTACATGCATATGCGCTAACGTAAAACAGTGTGTGTGCGTGCGTGCAAATGTTGTTGATGATGAAGTTGGAGGAACACTGTGTTGCACAAGCTGAAACCTACAAAACAAACAAAAGACATTATTTTGTTCTAATATTAATTTTTAAAAAACAAATGCTATTATTAAATACTAATAATTAGTTATATACAACAACAACAAGAAAAAGAAGAAAACAAAATAAAAAAATAAATGAAATGCTAAGTGGTTAAGCGTTATATAAAGAATGCGTACTAATTTAATATAAATTAATTGGAATTATTTAAAAGTAATTTAATGCGAAAAGCAACAGAAAACAAAAACAAACATTTTGAAATAACTATAATTGTATGGAATATGAGATAAAGTTATTATTAGAAAAAATAATAATTATTATTAATAAAACAACAACAAAAAAATTAAATTAATTATTACAAACTTTGAGTATGAGTACTATGATTACTATTTGTATACATACATATATATGTATATGTATGCAGACACGTATATATATATTTACATATAATTTTATATATGTATGTACATGTATTTAAACGCCAGCAAAATGAAAGAAAACTTAAGCGAAACTACCATTTTTATGTATGCAATAAAAAAGAGAGTAAAATGAGAGAGATTTTCGGGGGCAGAAGATAGTCAGAGAAAATCGAGTATTGGAAAAGAAAGTAGCATGCAAATGATGAGTAAGGAAAAAACAAAGTCTAAATTAAAAATGAATATTGTATGGCAAAGCAAAGTGTATGGAAATGAGCAGAAAAAGCAGTAAAATGAGGGGAAGAAGTAGTAAGGAGAGCAGAAGACAAGGATCGCAAATAGGAAAACAGCAAATGTAACGAACAGAAAAAAAGTATTAGTTGAGTGGTCGAAAAGGGGATATGAGATGTGCAAGACATGCCAAAAAGTGTGATAAAAATTGTTTCGAAAAAACAAATTTCAAAACTATAATCAAATTCGAAATATATGCGATGAAGCTTCATTTAAAAACAGGTCATTTCTCCAAGACAACATTCTCTATGAAAGCTTTCAAGAATAGCTAAAAATACATTTTGCTTTTGCTTTCTTGAAAACGCTTAGGGCTGAAAAAGTTGTGTACACAAATGTATGCAAGCAATTAATAGAAAGTTTTCTAGGGCTTTCACTCCATCAAAAAAGTTTTCGACAGCAAAATCTGTAAAAATCGCTTTTGCAAACGTTTTCAGTTTCTTTTCTATACCAATATTTGTAAGCTTTTAATATTCAAAAGCTTGTTTGTTAAAACTTTTCCTTGATCGATCAACCATTCGACAGTAAAAGCTTGATGTATATCATATATGAAAAGCGTTTTGCAAGCGTTTAAGGCTTTTAGTTACTAAAAGCAATATCTTTGCGGAATTAAAAGCCCAAAGCATTACAAAGAATTATTGGTATGCTTATTTTGAAGTATAACTGAGCTTTTTTCATTAATGGCAAGATAAAGTAAAGCTCACAAACTTTCGTTTGACAGAATTGTATGTACAAATATATGCAAGCTTTTATTAATAAAAAGCTTGCGAAGGCTTTCATTCCATCGATCAAACTTTCGACAGCAAAAGCTGTAAAATTTTAAGTATGAAGGGCATTTTGCGCTTTTTTGTATATAATTATATGCAAGCTTTTATTTGTCAGAAGCTTTCTGGCACTTTTAAAAGTTTTCTAAATCTTTTACTCTATCGATAAAGCGTTCGACAGTAAAAGCTTTTTATTAATCCAAAGCTTTTCAGGACTTTCACGCCATCGATCAAATTTTCGGCTGCAAATCGCAGTGAAAGCGCTAAAATTCGTATTGGACATATTAGAAATATTGCTTGCAATACACTATATCAGTTGTACATATTCATAGAGAATATGAAAAAGGATTGCATACTTTCAAGAGGTTGGCTTTATTAAGACTTTCGAAGCCTTCATCGATGAAGTGATTAAATAAACCTCACGAACTGTCGTTTGATAAAATTGTGTACAAAAATACATTCAAGCTTTTATTCATCAAAAGCTCTCTAGCACTTGCAATCAAGTTTTCGGCAGTAAAAGCTTTAAAAATGTCAGTTAAAGTTTTAAAAAAACATTTCAACATTTCTAAGAAATTGTAAACATTTTTAAACTCCGCTTTGGAATAATAATCACTGAATACCCTGAAATAAATGTATCAAAAGACATTTTTTTTTTTTAATTTTACGCAACGCTCCTAAATATATGCAACGGTAATTGCTAAAAAATTTCGATTACAGCTCTAAGTATGAAAGCATGAACTATAACAATTAAATATTGTGCTTAGCTTAATTTTCG